CTGATGCCTTTGTTATATTAACTTTTGGTTGAATGTACTGTCGTAGTAAATATATAATGTTATAGCTTGGTCTGACTAAAATCTTGTGCATGACCCATTTTGTGTTGGGCCTTTGTATTCAATACAATGAACAAGAGTCCTATCTTGTCAGCCTTGTCAGCAGGTGGCTAAGGATAACACCCACGCCATAGGTCTCTCAGTTCTTCCAACTCACGAGTTCTTGCCCTGAGGACACACACACACACACCCACACACACACACACAACACACACACACACACACACACACACACACATCATCACTGATAAACACACACACACACACACACACACACATCATCACTGATAACAAACACACACACACACACACACACACACACACACACACTGATAACAAACACACACACACACACACAAATACTCTTCTCTTAGGCTGAACATCTGAAGACAGAGAACCCGACTCAGAGCCAATGCAACAGTGACACTAGCCTGGAGGTGACCTCGCCCAACTCATCAGGACCAATCAGAAGATCAGAACTACTAGATTCAACCTACTTCATTTTATTGTATAAAATGTCAGCACACAATGTTTAGGGGCTCTTCTGATAAACTCCCTACGAGTTTGACGAACGGGTCCGTGCACGCGATTCCAGATATCTTTACCTCTGAATAAACTGCCTTATATTATACAATTATCCACCTTGTCCAAAAGTCTCTACTTGGTCTCCGTTCTCCAGTAAACTTGTTTTATATCAACAATAGTAAGGTTCAATGACACAGAAAGCAGTTCAATGTCGGGGTACAGAGTCGCTCTCTTACCAGGATCGCGGTCCGCTCTGACCAGGGTGAAGCCGGCCGGCTCCACCTCTCTGTCCGGGACTCTGTCATCCAGCCAAGTATCCCAGCTGTATTGGGATTCCGCTGCCAGCAGCGTTTTCATTATTTAGTCCGTTCGTAGCGGGTATGTACACGATCAACAAGATCAGTCCAAAACCGAAGATCAGTCCAAAGCAGAATGTTTGCAGAATGTTTGTAAACTAAGTCTACAAATTAAAAACATAAAATAACGCCACACTGCAGGTCGCAACATAGACGCTGTTAGCCGCCATTGTCTTAGTTACGTTCAACGTTACGTCACGTATGACGAAAGCGCGTAAGTGCATGCCCACAGACACCCATAGAGAATGTATTGAAAGCTTTGAAATTTGAAAAAAATAGATTTTACATGACAGGCTATGAGAGACTTCTGGGCGATTTTCAACCTGACTGAAATCGCCCAAAAAACGGGCGGGGCCATTTGAAGCACGACTTTAGCCTGATTTGACATTTAGTGGCTGGCAGATCAGACGTGAACACTGATAAGTGCTGTTGCCGTGATATAATTGATTAGAAAAAAAATCCCTTCCTTTTCCCGTTTGGCAGTGCGTCGCCCATATCGCCCTATTGAACAAGCCGTCCCTGCCCGATTCTAATAATTAGCTGGTTTATAAAATGAATTATGTTATTTACAACTGGGGTTAAAGTGAAAACCTAGAGGAGGTTAGATCTCCAGGAACAGGGTTGGCAAGTCCTGTTCTATAATGACACATACTTCATTTACTTTTTTTTTTTATTGTTGTGTTCCCTCACCTAAAAAAAAGTCAAGGTCCATGACATGGGATTCAGTTCTCATAGAAAAGTCAAGAAATACAGTCAAGAAAAGTCATTTTAGAGGCTGGAGCTGCGGGCTTTGTAAATCCTCCAATGTCACTGGTCAAATGAGTTTCACACTGGGGAAGTGCTGCTCTTTACACAATGGGAACAATGCACGTGAGATGACTGTGAGACCATGACATTTATTCAGTGAACTAGTAGAAAATGTTAAACACTAACTCCCACCTCCTCACATGCAGGTTTCTACAATAGGGGAAAGTGGGGTAAGTTGAGCCAAAGGGTTATTTGAGCCACCCCTTGTTTCTAGGAAACCATACACAAAATGAATAATGTGACCTAATATTTAAGAAGAGGTCATCATTTCATGGAGTCTGTGAAGGAAGAAAACACATGGGAAAAAGTGGTAAGCAAGTTAGGTAAAAAATATAACTGATTTTCACAAATTCAAATTAATTTATTGTGTTATAGGTTTCATGATGATTGTATCTAAACCAAAAGTAGATAGTTTTAAGATAGTTTTATACATCAGTTGGGGTCTCTATAAGCTACAATATGAGGTTCTAAACCTAGCATGAAAGTGCATCCTTGTAGCTGTGTGGGCCAATACAGTCAAAACGTTTGCCCTGGGGTAAGTTGAGGCAGGTGGAGTAAGGTAAGGTTTGAATCCCCGAGCCAACTAGATGAAAAATCTGTCGAAGTGCCGTTGAGCTGGATAAGAGTGTCTGCTAAATTACGTAAATGTGAAATGGAAGGGTAAGTGATATTGAACAGAGATCTATATCTAAATGTAGGTGCACATTTATGATATACAATATAACACAACCACATTCCATGAATTCAACTTTGACCTACCAGCACCATCAACCACTGTCACAGGACACCACCACCCACTTACCCCAAGCCGGCTCAACTTACCCTGTCCCTTTGCTCAATATACCTCATACCCGGGGTAAGTTGTGCCTAGAGAACACTTTTTTTGGACAAGCTATGTTTTCAAAACTGTTATGTTTACACGAATTCTGATTATTTCCAGGGATATACAACATCCTGAAATATATGTACAGTAGATATCTTTGTTAGAAAGAATACTATATTTCCCGTAGGTAAGCTGAATGTAAAGAATGTCTCAACGTACCCCATTCTCCCCTAGATATTCTTTATTCAGGGTTGTAAACTGTAATGTTCCACACAAGAAACAAATTCTAAGTTGTAATTTATTGGTTTTTATTTCACCCAAATTCTGCATAACTACATCCAACTGCATTCTGCATGACATGATTCAAATTGCTGTGCCTTCAGAAACCTCAGGGACCTATAATCACATTCCATCTCAGAAATGCATCTGGTAAAAGACGCATCAACAGTACATCAACTTGTGTCAACTCTTTCATTATGTTCCTTTTGACTGTTTTAATCAATCATATTTTCCATTCATTAGCTTCAAATATGGGTAACTGAGCATACCAATGATATTATTTTCAACAAATGAGAGTACCTTTTGTCTTTTAGCGATACAAGTGATAATGATGATGATTCCAAGCATCAACCAGATTGTTTGTGCTTGATAAAGGCCAAGATGTTCAATTTATAGGCTACATTATGATTGCTTTTCAAGTCTCATCCACGTTGTTGAGTGAAACTTAATTGTGAATAAATCAGGTAGAGGAATTTTTACAAATGTATGAGTAGAGCTGAAAACAGTATGTAGTATTACAGAGCAAATCATAGACATTTCAGCTTTTTACATTTTATCATATTTCCTTTGGATTATTACGCTTAAACTTTTAGAACTACATCTCCCAAAAATAATTGATTCATCATTGTGTAGAAAAATAGTAAAATAACATTTGTCAAACTGGGTAGCAACAGTTGAGGTCCATTTTAAGACACCTACCCAGTCAAACTAATGGACTACATACTGACTTTGCATTTGCAACATTATCATTGAGTATGACAAAAAAAAGAAAAAAAAAAGGTTATTCTAATATTTAAAATATGAATATTGCATGCTTAACAAAGTATTTGCATTGCTACTGCAGTTGTGTAGGGTCAGGTCATCTGAGAAAGTGCTATGTTTGTCTAATCCATACTAAACTAATATCGTACCTACATTGTGATAGACCAAACTGTATTTTCTATTTACTATTATATCACATTGATTATACCTTATTCTGTCACTATTTCTAAGTGTGAGAACTTTTCCAATGCTATGTCATTATCAGATATGCAATATCAGCGCAGTAATACACATAGTCAAGTCTGGTAGCATCTTTTGGTGGCTGTTGATCTACACTTAACTGCACTGATGAACTCAACTAGTAGCATGTACAGTACATGGTAAAGGGCCCTAGCCATCACATTTTCCTTGTTTTGAAATCCAGGCAACTCAGTAAATACTAGTAAAACATAGAATTATCTTTTGCTTATGTTATGACCGAGTGAGTAATTGTGCATATACCAGCATATGCACCTACATGAATACATTCGAAATGTGGTATTTGTTTTACACTATGTGATCTTGTGTCGGTACCCTTGACAAATTAGAAAATAGGGTTGAAAGCAATCTGACCATCCTTCAAATTTGAAAATGCAGTAAAGCATGTCAACATGTCTAAAGAAAATGGTGTCAAAATATACAGCAAATCTCTCTCTCTCTCGCTCTCTCTCACTACTTGCATAAGTCTCTTCAATAATTCATGTTAACATGTTACATAATATATTTAATCAATACACCTGTGGCCCATCCAACACTCATCCTTCATTACCGCTCTGTCCAGTGGATTGATATGACCCAATATGTCAAAATCTCAAAATACAAAAACATAACACTTGCAAGTAAAGAACAATTGTAAGATCATTTGTGTGCTGCAATATACAAATCTATTCAGATTTTCATAATCATGGTTAGTAGACAAACCTCATAAACATATGAATGGCAGAACAGGTGACCGTTGTTTTTTACTGTAATCTGATGGGGAAAAGGTAATGAGTACATTTTAAAAATACAGAATGACATAGCCACTCACACCAAAGCCTTTTAATAAGGTGAGCGTACAACATACACTCACTAGATTATTTCCCCTTTGAAAAATAAGTAAAGCATGAAAGTAAATGACAAATATCCAAAAACTGAAACTGAGAGAGTAAGTTAGTTTTTTAAATACACATAAACCACCAGTAGTAGGTACAACTCTTCTGTCCATTAAGGAATTTGGATAATCAAAAAGCACAGTTAGTTAGTCCAGCTTTGCCAGCCCTGTCGTTGGATGGTGTGGACCAGGGTAGAGGCTGTATGTGGCACTACCATGGGGGATTGTTCTGCTGTACTGTAGTCTAGGCCATCCTCTGCTAGCTGGTGGCAGTTGACATGGAGCATGGAGGCTGTGAGGTCTGGGAGACCTGGGGCTCAGACAGCAGAGCAGAGAGGGCCTGGCTGGGCTGAAGAGGCAGGCCAGGGGGCCAGTAGCCAGGGCCAGGGGTGAAGGGCAGGGCGGGATGCTCGAGTCCAGGGCTACTCAATGTGAGGGAGGGAGGCCCTACTGCCTAACCAAAAGGACACCTGGAAGACAAAAGAGAAGGAAATGGAATGAGCGGAAATGAGCCACAACAACCCTGAACATTTGATCGGAAAATGCTGTGTTGTGTTACGAAGTGTGTGTGTGCCCACCAAAATATATGCTGTCTCCACTCAGCTCCAAAGATCATGTAATCTCAACAAATAGTTTCTAAATGACACGGATTCTGCAAAGAGAAGAGACTGATTTAAACAGGGACTAATAGTGAGGAGAAATCCAGATCAAACCATCAGAGTTATATAGACACAATATCAGAGGATATTGTCTGGTTCAGATACTAACAGTATTTACAGTATCATTCCACTGGAGTGGGATGTCCTCGGGTTCTGGTGGGTAGGACATCCAGGATGGGCTTCCATACGACGATGGTGGAGGCATGACAAAGTAGTCTGAGTAACCAGGGCGGTTGGCTGATATGGCGTAGACCGCTGTAATTGGGTTTCCTATAGAGATAAGCAGTGTTTAGCCAATCAGAGGCTTGAATGAGTGAACTGAAGCAATTTGACAGAGAAAGATACACATATGCCTTATGTATATTATACAGTACCAGTCAAAAGTTTGGACACACCTACCCATTCCAGGGTTTTTCTTTATTTTTACTATTTTCGACGTTATAGAATAATAGTGAAGACAGCAAAATTATTAAATAACACATATGGAATCATGTAGTAACCCAAAAAGTGTTAAACAAATCAAAATATATTTTATATTTGAGATTCTTCAAATAGACAGCCTTTGCCTTGATGACAGCTTTGCACACTCTTGGCATTCTCTCAACCAGCTTCACCTGGAATGCTTTTCCAAAAGTCTTGAAGGAGTTCCCACCTATGCTTAGCACTTGTTGGCTGCTTTTCCTTCACTCTGCCATCCGACTCATCCCAAACCATCTCAATTGGGTTGAGGTCGGGGGATTGTGGAGGCCAGGTCATCTGATGCAGCACTCCATCACTCTCCTTCTTGGTAAAATAGCCCTTACACAGCCTGGAGGTGTGTTGGGTTATTGTCCTGTTGAAAAACAAATGATAGTCCCACTAAGCCCAAACCAGATGGGATGGCGTATTGCTGCAGAACGCTGTGGTAGCCATACTGGTTAAGTGTGCCTTGAATTCTAAATAAATCACAGACAGTGTCACCAGCAAAGCACCCCCACACCATAACACCTCCTCCTCCATGCTTTACGGTGGGAACTACACATGCAGAGATCATCCGTTCACCAACACCATCTCACAAGCCACGACGGTTGGAACCATAAATCTCCAATTTGGACTCCAGACCAAAGGACACATTTCCACCTGTCTAATGTCCATTGCTCGTGTTTCTTGGCCCAAGCTGGTCTCTTCTTCTTATTGGTGTCATTTAGTAGTGATTTCTTTGCAGCAAATCGACCATGAAGACTTGATTCACACAGTCCCCTCTGAGCAGTTGATGTTGAGATGTGTCTGTGACTTGAACTCTGTGAAGCATTTATTTGGGCTGCAATTTCTGAGGCTGGTAACTCTAATGAACTTATCCTCTGCAGCAGAGGTAACTCTGGGTCTTCCATTCCTGTGGCGGTCCTCATGAGAGACAGTTTGATCATAGCGCTTGAAGGTTTTTGCGACTGCAAAGTTCTTGAAATGTTCCATATTGACTGACCTTCATATCTTTAAGCAATGATGGACTGTCATTTCTCTTTTCTTATTTGAGCTGTTCTTGCCATAATATGGACTTGGTCTTTTACCAAACAGGGCTATCTTCTATATACCCCCTCCCCCCCTACCTTGTCACAACACAACTGGTTGGCTGAAATGCATTAAGAAGGAAATAAATTCCACAAATTCACTTTTAAGAAGGCAAACCTGTTAATTGAAATGCATTCCAGGTGACTACCTCATGAAGCTGGTTGAGATAATGCCAATAGTGTGAAAAGCTGTCATCAAGGGTGGCTATTTGAAGTATATTTATCTAAAATATATTTTGATTTGGTTACTACATGATTCCATATGTGTTATTTCATAGTTTTGATGTCTTCAATATTATTCTACAATGTAAAACATTGTACAAATAAAGAAAAACCATTGAATGAGTAGGTGTGTCCAAACTTTTGACTGGTAGTATATATATTTATATATACAGTGAGGGAAAAAAGTATTTGATCCCCTGCTGATTTTGTATGTTTGCCCACTGACAAAGAAATGATCAGTCTATAATTTTAATGGTAGGTTTATTTGAACAGTGAGAGACAGAATAACAACAACAAAATCCAGAAAAACGCATGTCAGAAATGTTATAAATTGATTTGCATTTTAATGAGGGAAATAAGTATTTGACCCCCTCTCAATCAGAAAGATTTCTGGCTCCCAGGTGTCTTTTATACAGGTAACGAGCTGAGATTAGGAGCACACTCTTAAAGGGAGTGCTCCTAATCTCAGTTTGTTACCTGTATAAAAGACACCTGTCCACAGAATAAATCAATCAATCAGATTCCAAACTCTCCACCATGGCCAAGACCAAAGAGCTCTCCTAGGATGTCAGGAACAAGATTGTAGACCTACACAAGGCTGGAATGGGCTACAAGACCATCGCCAAGTAGCTTGGTGAGAAGGTGACAACAGTTGGTGCGAATATTCGCAAATGGAAGAAACACAAAATAACTGTCAATCTCCCTCAGCCTGGGGCTCCTAGCAAGATCTCACCTCGTGGAGTTGCAATGATCATGAGAATGGTGAGGAATCAGCCCAGAACTACACAGGAGGATATTGTCAATGATCTCAAGGCAGCTGGGACCATAGTTACCAAGAAAACAATTGGTTACACACTACGCCGTGAAGGACTGAAATGCTGCAGCGACCGCAAGGTCCCCCTGCTCAAGAAAGCACATATAGAGGCCCGTCTGAAGTTTGCCAATGAACATCTGAATGGTTCAGAGGAGAACTGGGTCAAAGTGTTGTGGTCAGATGAGACCAAAATCGAGCTCTTTGGCATCAACTCAACTCGCCATGTTTGGAGGAGGAGGAATGCTGCCTATGACCCCAAGAACACCATCCCCACCATCAAACATGGAGGTGGAAACATTATGCTTTGGGGGTGTTTTTCTGCTAAGGGGACAGGACAACTTCACTGCATCAAAGGGACGATGGACAGGGCCATGTACTGTCAAATCTTGGGTGAGAACCTCCTTCCCTCAGCCAGGGCATTGTTAATGGGTCGTGGATGGATATTCCAGCATGACAATGACCCAAAACACACGGCCAAGGCAACAAAGGAGTGGCTCAAGAAGAAGCACATTAAGGTCCTGGAGTGGCCTAGCCAGTCTCCAGACCTTAATCCCATAGAAATTCTGTGGAGGGAGCTGAAGGTTTGAGTTGCCAAACGTCAGCCTCGAAAACTTAATGACTTGGAGAAGATCTGCAAAGAGGAGTGGGACAAAATCCCTCCTGAGATGTGTGCAAACCTGGTGGCCAACTACAAGAAACGTCTGACCTCTGTGATTGCCAACAAGGGTTTTGCCACCAAGTACTAAATCATGTTTTGCAGAGGGGTCAAATACTTATTTCCCACATTAAATGCAAATCAATTCATAACATTTCTGACATGCGTTTTTCTGGATTTTGTTGTTGTTATTCTGTCTCTCACTGTTCAAATAAACCTACCATTAAGATTATAGACTGATAATGTCTTTGTCAGTGGGCAAACGTACAAAATCAGCAGGGGATCAAATACCTTTTTCCCCTCACTGTATATATAATATGTATTATTCTGACCTGAGTAGCTGGTCACGGACTGGTCAACAGTAACAGCAGGGAAGGGCGCTCTGTTGATAGGCAGATAGGGGGCACCATTGTGCTGACTCTGCAACTCAGTGGCCTCGGAAACACGAGGCTTCAGGCTGACATCGGGTGTAGAACTGCAGAAGGGGAAACAAAGACAAAAGCCGTGTAATTCATAAGTCTCACCACTGGTTGGCCTGTATACCTCACACGCAAACCCGTTAACAGTCAATTATCTGCAGCACGGCATTCAAATGAAGATGCCGTTTGCTTTAAATGATTCAGAAAAAAATACAGCTCAGAGTAGAATTACAACACAGTGTGTTAACAGTATAACATCCAAAGCCATATGTTAAAGGGAAACTTCACAATTTTTCTTCTTAACTATTCATCATCTCCAGCACCATCCCAACATCAACACCAACATATTATGTGAAAATGGCGCATTTCTATGTTTTGTAGTAAAAAAGATAAAGACAAGTGTTTCCAATGACATCATCAACCGATTAGTAGACAATTAGTAGGCAATGCCTACTCACAATTGGTCAAAATCACACAATGCACACCGATGATGTAATTGGAAACCCTTATCTTCCTCTATCTTTTTTACTACAAAACATAGAAACGCACCATTTTCACATATGTTGATGTTGGGGTGGTGCTGGAGATGATGAATATGAAGTCTATTATTTTTTTTGGTTTCCCTTTAAGCAGTAGAAAAAACAAGGATGCACTACAAGGATACAGTACACTAGTTACAAGTAGACCTTCAAAAAAGTAGTAGGTTGAGCATTGTCATGACTCTCCCTGGGTGAGGATCAAAGGCCTCACATCAGCTTGGCAAATGGCTGACAACAACCAGACACTCTTACCCACAGGGGGCTGTTCCGGTCTTGACACCTTAATTCTGCCATAAATTAGAGAGGAGGAGAATCTATCTCTGGCACTCTAGTATGGTGAAAGGAATGCCTTTGTTTCAGATACTTTTTGCCGCACAAAAACTTCAACATCCAACAATGAACATTAGGACAAAATATTTCAACATCCAAATGTTGGGAATGATGAGAAATGGAATATGGAAAATTAATGCATATTTTGTGATGTCATTAAAAATGGTATAAAGGTGTTATAATGAAAACATTGTGACTTGAAGAGCGTTTACACTGTGTATATCAGGTTTACTTCCTTTACCTTGGGTAGAAAATATCAAGGAGGAAGACAATGTTTTCGTGAAGATAGGAATGTGATTTCAGCTTTCTAACAAAATCATAGTGATGATAATATTTTTGCCTCATAACTAGCCACGTCCGAGGGAGCTCAGAGAGCGTGTCATTATGATGGAAACGCCCCTCTTTACCAGAGTGCATAAAATATTGAGATAAGAATGATCAGATCAAACTAGACAGACCTCAAGCTGCAGCTTTTGTCCATATTGGTCCCGACCCTGAAAATCAACACGAGGTGAAGACGACAAAGTTGCCTCCACTAACAATCAATGTTATGGCTGAGTAGCTGTTCTAAGTACTGTATCTAAGAAGGTGAATTTAAGTGGGACCATCCTGTTACTCTCTTCAAACCATCGTCTACTACACTGCTCTCATCACCCCACAGGGGATCATCGACACGGCTGATTAGCCATCCTCAGAAGACCACTTCCAGATGAGTGAAAGTAAACATACAACTAAGAAGAAGGACATTGTGACCTCTTGTGGACAATCTGAGCCTTACATCTGAAAGGCCATCCAAAAGAGAAGGCCCAATCGAACCCTTCCCATGAAGGCCTGGGTCCAACAGAGATACATGACGAAGACCTCCAACATGTAAATACATACATTACTTTTCTTCCCAAACGGGTGACAGTTCGGGGCAAAGTATTAGGATTACTGTGAGGGTAGGTCCATGTGTATCCAAGTGTTTTTTCTCTCTCTTTAACTCGCCATCTTTTGTAACAAGTGTCATATTGTGTTAGTCCGCTAGGGACCAGTTTTCATTGTATTACGTTTATAATCCCTACCTATACCGTGTACGTGTTTGTATCTTGTGTTATAATTTTTATTAGTTCGAAAATAAATAATTAAATTAATTTGTGTGGTACGGAATGATCAGTAAGACCCGGGTTCGTGCAGACTTAAAGAGTCTACGACTTTCAGAATGAGACTTATATGAGGTAAATTATTAATAAATGACTGTTAAATGATAAGAGATATCTAGATATCTTTAGAGTTAATTCGGGAAACGGTAACTTGTTAAACGACTTTTCCCGTGGTGCCCCAAATTCTTAATGACTTCATTGTTAAATCATTAATTTAATCTAGTAACAATTCAACATAGTAGGTAATTATTCGATAAATAATAGCCATCACAATAATTAAAGTCACGACAGCATGTTTAGCATTGTGAGGATGTGAATATATTAGAATGCATGTTATGTTCATCCGTTTACTGTCTTTTTGACAGCTAGAGGAGTGTTGAAGGGAGGAGGAGGAGGGGGGTTCGTACCGCCTCATTGAGGTCCCGGTAGGTGGTCCGGGTCTTGAAGGTATCAGAGGAGGTGGGGGTCCAACGCCCATGTCAGGAAGCTGAGCGAACCTGAAGCCCTGCAGCACCAAGCACAACACACACACACAACATAGTTAAATCAGGGTGTGGGTGTTTAAACAGATGTACTATACAGCTACTCACTCGACACATGTTGATTTTCTACAATAGCATTCAGGATTTTTACATTGCACAGTCAATCAATGCTCTCACAGGCTTGGGTAAGCTACACTGGTGGATTTCCGGCCCGTAGGCAGACCCGCTCTGGTGGCCTCCTCCGCATGGGTGGTTCATGGTGCCAGGAGCGCTGGTCACCCCCTCGGAATAGGCGCTGGTGTGGCTGGGATTGTAGGAACTGTGGAGGTGGGGGTGAGGGTGGTGGTGGTGGTGGTGGCTGCCAGGCGGAGGCTCGTCTGCAGCCAGTCCAAAGGCATTACCCAGCAGGATATGCATCTGCTGCCGGACCTCGTCGATGGAGGGCTGAGAGCTCAGAGTGGACGAGTCCGAGAGACCTTTGACCTGATGGCTTCCACCATAACCCAGGGAGCTCATCAGTCGGTCCACATTGGTCTCCTGGAACGGCTCTGGCTCCGCCTGACTCACAGGAAGACGAATACACACACACACACACCGAATCGCACACATACAGGGTTATCCATTTGCAATTTAAAAGCTCAGAACATTCAGAGCTATTAACTGGTATTGAATTTCCCATCTAAATCACCGAACAGGCTATAAATCATATTCACTGTCATTGACATTCAGCAAGGTTCAGGCAGCATAAAGAACGGGCTCCACCGCTGCGCTAGATGGAGGTTTTAAAGTTCGGCTGAAGGCAATCCTCTTCATTTGAGCCATGGAGCTTAAAGTGAATATTGGGAGAGGTAGGTATAATGGGGCTGGCTTTGTCCTAGGGTTTTCTCTAGGTTATTGCACCCCAGTATCAGAACTTCTGTAGGCTCAACCACCTTTGCCCCTGCAGTGACTCCAGTAGTATGGTGTTCATTTTAGGACATTCACCCTGCAGTTACTTCAGCAGTACGGCGTACATTTAAGGACATTTATATCTCATGGATGTCTTACAATGGACGACATACTGCACTGATATTCAGTGAGGACTCACGTCATAACCGCTGTTGCGGATGCCTCTTCTGGACCTCTCCCTGAGGACCAGCAAGTCCATCTCTGTCTCCACGGGGCTAGGGCTGCTGGCGGCCAGGGACTGACGGCTCCAGTAGGCTGGCTCTCTGGATGGGGGGTGCCTAAAGTAGGGATATCATAGTCGCCGTCATCATTATTATAGCCATCATCATCATCATCATCAGTAAAAAATGTAATCTGCAACATCTACAGTTGGGTTGATTAAATTATTTATCTGCGCTGCAGCACAGGTTTAAACTGAAAACCTGGATATACAAAATTGACTTATAACTGTACCCTTACAGGAATATTTCAGACAGTTACTCAACAGGTACCAGGGAGAAGCGGCAGTCAAGCGTGACGCCAGCAGATACTCTCGACCGGTAAAAGTAACGGTGCTGCAGCACAGGCATTTTGAAAAGTAACTTTTAAATCAGTGGATCTGTAAACGCTGAACACCCACTCAAACATGAAATGAATGCTTCCTGTATAGCATACTGTATGTCTCTTGGCATATTATAAAATGTGGATGCTCCCCCACCTCCTGATGTGGCATCCTGCATAGGAGGCCCTCTTCTCCTCAGCAGTCATTGGCTCCTTGGCCATCTCATGCCTACTGTGCCTCTCTCTGGGGTTGAATGGGTGGATGCCATTGTCTGTGATGGGAAAATCATAGTAGCCTTTTCTCTTGGCTTTCTGCCGTAGTTTGTTCCTGTAGCGTTCGATGTCGGACTTCTGCTTGAGCCCCATGTTTGCCTGTGGACGTAATTTGTATCCATTACATTTGTATATTGATTCTAGTTTGGCATTGCTTGGTATTATGAGTAAACTTGGTGAGGTCACTCTTCCCTATAAAGAAACAACCGGTTTCAATTCCATTCTTACTTCCCCTTGGCCCTAACCCATTGATGTTTGCAGATCTGTAGTCCAAGTGCAATATACAGTAGCTCCAATTATACAGTGCTTTTACTGCACCTATCCAGAACTATCTTCAGATCTGCATATAAAGGGTTGGGGCCAAAGGGAAGGGAGCAAATTGGGACAGGCTGGCAGACTCTTTATGACATCATTCCCAGCAGGCTGGGGGCGGGGTCTCACCTCCCCATTGAGGATGACTGAGTCCTGGCTGTGACTGGAGGAGGATGGGTAGGAGTATGTGGGCTGGGCCGCCATTGGCTTGATGGTGATGAGTCGCAGTGAGCCAGTGTGGTCCTCGTAGGGATCTGCCGGGGTGAGAGGACATTGCTATTTAGCACACCACTAGCTAGCCCAGCTATGACTGATATTGCTGTTATCCCCACTCACACTGCCTGAGTTACTGCAGTAAGACATGGGGCGTGTGTGTGTGTGTGTGCCTCCCTGTGTGTGTGCCTCCCTGTGTGTGTGTGTGTGTGTGTGTGTGTGTGTGTGTGTGTGTGTGTGTGTGTGTGTGTGTGTGTGTGTGTGTGTGTGAGAGTGTGAGCGCGCATGAGTGTGTGAGTGCCTGCGGCATGTGTGTGTGTGCATGCCTGCACTGCATGCGTCCATGCATACATGTGTTTTTTTTACAATTCATTAGCTCTCTCTATTGGTCCTACAGTGTCTCAAGCCTGTGTGATGACATAACATTGTGTGGACAAGCAGCAGTAGCCTACAGTAGCCAGAGCATGGCCTCTCTCCTCTCTCTCACCGTTCCTCTTGTGCAGCAAATCCTCCTTGGTGCTCTTCTGTGTCGCAGCCCTCCGTGCCGCCAAGCTCTTGCCCGTGTTGAGTTTCCCGGATTCGTTGCTCGTAACTGAGCCATCCTCGCTTGGCAACCTGCTGCGGGTAACCATAGTAACAGAGGCAGGCAGTGGTAAGCTCTATGCATACAGTATTATCCAAGGTTAATGCTGCTATCACACAGCCCCCTGGCCACAGTTCTAACCTGTGAAGACTGACTGCAGTGCGCAACATAGACACCTCTACAGGTGGTGTTCTAGCTAAGGCCACAGGCTAGAACAGTTGGTGCTTCTATCTTAATGTCAAAATATCTCCCATGGTATCTTTTCAGGAGTGACCAACAGGCAGACACAAGTGACTAACACACCAGTCTGATGTGATGTCAGATAAGACAGCTGGGAACAAGCACACCCATCATGTCAGCTCATATAGACATCACTCTTCAGAATGTATGAATCAGATATTTCTAAGGGTGTTATGCATTCAGAAATGCAAAATGGAATCCGCATTCGCAATCGCATTAATGAGGCTTCTATAATGAGGTACCGTTCTACTCGTGATAAATAGACGGACTGGGAGAGAGAGGGAAATAGAAAGAGAGAGAGAGAGAGGGAGAGAGGGAGAGAGGAGAGAGAGCGAGAGAGATAGAGAGAGAGCGAGAGGGAGAGAGAGAGAGAGAGAGATAGCGATAGAGTAGAGAGATAGATATAGATAGGAGAGAGATGAAGGAGGATATAGGAGATAGAGAAAGCGATATCTACTCTATCTCGATGTCTCTCGATGACATAGATCGAGAGAGCCCTTCTCTAGAGAGAGAGAGGAGACAGATAAGTATGTGTGTATTCCTGTCAACGTGAGGCCAGAAAAACACTGAATCAAACATGGCCCTGGAAGCATCTCTCCAGGCTGTGTAGCTCACTCACGTTTCCATGCCCAGTGTTCAGCCTCCATTCACTATACACCAGTATGTGTTTACCGCTTGTTTGTCTTCCCAGTTATAATTCTCAGCACCCTTTCAAAGGCGTTTTATTCTTTAATCATCACACTGCAGAATTCCAATGACAGCAGCAGAGGAGATGTGTTTGTAGCCTTGTGAAGCCTTGCTAATCCCAGTCTGAATGAGCCCTGGGGTCCATCCAAAGGGTGACTGGAACAGCAGCTGCCGCTGCAGCAGACCTGGGTTCAGATACTATTTTAAATCATTTTCAATACTTTATCAGTGTTTGATTGAGCTTGCCTGGCTTAATTAATCAATAGAATAGTCCAAAAATTACAAACCCCGCTCATCTGATACTCCAGGCAGGCTAGAGCAAAGCAAATACTCAAAGCATTTGAAAGATTTACAATACCATTTGAACCCAGGTCTGCACTGCAGTGCCTTCAATGCCCACTAATCATTGCAGCAGACTCGTGTCACACCTCCAGCATGGCGGCCGTAAATATGTCACTAAAAAGCCCAAGTGGGTCTAAATCAGCCAAAGATAGGGGAGAACTGTTTGACAGCTGACAATGACTGATGTTTTGGGTTGGGTCAGTAAATAAAATCAGGCCTTTGGTAGTCTGTACATTTCTTCCAGCGTGTTAGAATGAGCATTTTTATGCATTGGAAATTCAAAGGAAAGATGGCTCAATACAGCAGCTCAAGCTTGGCTTTGGCTGCGTTTAGACAGGTAGACCAATTATGATCTTCTTTTCACTAACAGGTCTTTTGACCAATCAGATCAGCTATGACAAAGATCTGATGTGAAAACATCTGGTGTGATTGGTCAAAAGACCAATTAGTGGGAAAAAATATCAGAATTGGGCTGCCTGTCTAAACACCGTCTAGAGGGAAGAGAGGAGGCTCTATTCATTTTGTGGCACGGCAATAACACATTCAGGAATCACATGTTTTGTAATACCATTTTTGTTTTCTATTGCCTTTTCCGAGTGATAGACGGCTACGATTCTTGCAATTGGCAACACCCAGGCAAACTGTAAGCCAGTCAACATGAGCAGATTTAAGCAGATTTCTATGCAATCTGTCCAAGACTGTCATATTTTTGGACGTAAAGTATTGCAACAAACAAATCCAAATGTGTTCTGGTAATCTATAGTAAACAGGGATTCTTCTTCATAGAGATCCTATCATTCTGTTTCAATTTAATTCAGTGTTCTTCTTACCCTTTGTGGATGAAGTCAGCAGAAGGGGGTCTTTTAGAGGCGGTCCCATCCTGGTGCACCTTCCTGTCCAATGACAACGGGGCATCTCTCACCGGGAGGCCCAGAACCAGCGTCTCCTTGGTAACAGAGATGGTCTCCTCACCTTGCTGATGGCCCATGTGCTTCTTGGCATAGTCAAATCCCTGCACATGCTGGGACAGAGAGGGTTTACAAAAGGGTAAAGTAAAGGAGTGCCTTAGGAGATTGACATTTAATTTACAGGTAAATGAGCAAAGTCGGCTCGGTGAGCTCTGATTTCTCTCAGTCAGCAAGTAAAGACAGAATGGGGTTCTACTAAATTTTTAAACGAAATGTCTAATGGCACCTTTGAAGTTGGGATATATTGGCAGAAAGAAATGGACAATTAAATTGGTTTATGATTTATAGTTGAAGTCGGCAGTTTAAATACACTTAGGTTGGAGTCATTAGAACTAGTTTTTCAACCACTCCACAAATGTCTTGTTAACAAACTATAGATTTGGCAAGTCGGTTAGGACATAATAAAGGACATAATTTTTCCAACAAATGTTTACAGACAGATTATTTCACTTATAATTCACTGTATCACAATTCCAGTGGGTCAGAAGTTTACATACACTAAGTTGACTGTGCCTTTAAACAGCTTGGAAAACTCCAGAAAAGTATGTAATGGCTTTAGAAGCTTCTGATAGGCTAATTGACATCATTTGAGTCAATTGGAGGTGTACCTGCGGATGTATTTCAAGGCCTAGCTTCAAACTCAGTGCCTCTTTGCTTGACATCATGGGAAAATCAAAAGAAATCAGCCAAGACCTCAGAAAAAAATTGTAGACCTCCACAAGTCTGTTTCATCCTTGGGCAATTTCCAAATGCATCAAGGTACCACGTTCATCTGTACAAACAATAGTACGCAAGTGTAAACACCATGGGACCACGCAGCCGTCATACCGCTCAGGAAGGAGACGCGTTCTGTCTCCTAGAGATTAACGTACTTTAGTGCGAAAAGTGCACATCAATCCCAGAACAACAGCAAAGGACCTTGTGAAGATGCTGGAGGAAACAGGTACAAAATTATCTATATCCACAGTAAAACAAGTCCTATATCGACATAACCTGAAAGGCCGCTCAGCAAGGAAGAAGCCACTGCTCCAAAACCGCCATAAAAAAGACAGACTACGGTTTGCAACTGCACATGGGGACAAAGATCGTACTTTTTGGAGAAATGTCCTCTGGTCTGATGAAACACAAATACAACTGTTTGGCCATAATGACCATCTTTATGTTTGGAGGAAAAAGGAGGACGCTTGCAAAATAAAGAACACCATCCCAACCGTGAAGCACGGGGTTGGCAGCATCAGGGGGGACTGGTGCACTTCACAAAATAGATGGCATCATGAGGAATGAAAATTATGTGGATATATTGAAGCAACATCTCAAGACATCAGTCAGGAAGTTAAAGCTTGGTCGCAAATGGGTCTTCCAAATGGACAATGACCCCAAGCATACTTCCAAAGTTGTGGCAAAATGGCTTAAGGACAACAAAGTCAAGGTATTGAAGTGGCCATCACAAAGCCCTGATCTCAATCCTATAGAAAATGTGTGGGCAGAACTGAAAAAGCGTGTGCGAGCAAGGAGGCCTACAAACCTGATTCAGTTACACCAGCTCTGTCAGGAGGAACGGGCCAAAATTCACCCAACTTATTGTGGGAAGCTTGTGGAAGGCTACCCGAAATGTTTGACCCAAGTTAAACAATTTAAAGGCAATGCTACCAAATACTAATTGAGTTTATGTAAACTTCTGACCCACTGGGAATGTGATGAAAGAAATAAAAGCTGAAATAAATAATTATCTCTACTATTATTCTGGCATTTCACATTCTTAAAATAAAGTGATGATCCTAACTGACCTTAGACGGGGAATTTTTACTTGGATTAAATGTCAGGAATTGTGAAAAACTGAGTTTAAATGTATTTGGCTAAGGTGTATGTAAACTTCAGACTTCAACTGTATATTATACCTAGGCTGTTTCTTTGTATAACCAAATTACTCTAATTTCATGAAGCCTCTCTGCTTTGCAAAACAGCAAAAGGAACAGAATGTGCAGACCCATTTGTTTTCAAATTCTATTTTTTTATGCTATTTTTGAAAACTCTAAATATGTAAATACATGATGGTCAATGTATTTCTACTTGAGTGCATGTGATAGGAAGGGAGAAAAGAACCTCACGCAGCTTTAATAATTAAAGAGTCTTGCACTATCATCACACCTGGTTTTGAGATAAATCGATACACTGTTTGTGCAGACATCTGTACCTCATCCTGAGGTTAGTGATATTTCACGACAGTGTGAGTCTGGCTGAGATAATGTATAAAGACAGTATGGCTTCATCATATTGGACATTCACAGTTAGGGGGGATGTTTCTACAGATGAACCTTGAAGGCTGAGCTCAACAGAGATATATTTCACTGGCAGCAGGCAGACCTCTCTGTCCACTGGCAGCAGGCAGACCTCTCTGTCCACCGGCAGCAGGCAGACCTCTCTGTCCACCGGCAGCAGGCAGACCTCTCTGTCCACTGGCAGCAGGCAGACCTCTCTGTCCACTGGCAGCAGGCAGACCTCTCTGTCCACTGGCAGCAGGCAGACCTCTCTGTCCACTTGATGCGGTTGACTTTATAAATGGTCTCCTTTCATCTTTCAACTGCCCAGTTTGATAAAGACATGGAGTTGATCTGAGACTCTGCACAAGGCTACTCTGTGATGTATTTGACAAAGATGGATTCTGTGTTCTCACTTGGGCTCCTTTGGGATACTGATGGAGAGGGAGAGGTTTGATAAAACCCCCAAGGGACTTTATGTAAAGCGACCTCATGGTAAAACCACTCTGAGCAACTAAATTATGATTGATATGATTTTCTTTTCATTGCACAAACTGTCAAAATAAAGCCACGTGATGGACTGTACCACATACTGTATTTGGAGAGCAATGAAATACACTCACATATTGAATGATCAATGCAGAAACACACATGCAGACTGAAGCCATGCCATTGATTTGAAGCTTTGCGTTGTTGTCCCACTTTGATGGTTAATTATGTGCTGGACTAGTGGTTCAAGAAGTCCACTATCTCCCTAGTGGGTTATGCTCTGCTTGGTATTCTGTCTTCATTCCCAGAACGTTTGGACACCAACACATTCCACTGCAACAGACTGCAAATATGTGCAGTGTAGTGGAGCCAAAGAGCTTAACTCAACGCATTTACCACTAATGTCCTTTTGTCATATCGCCACAAACTATTCATAAACTAAGTAATTATAAGAACATTTATCTAATTTGTGCATGCGTGCCACATCTCTGGATCAGAAAGGGAAAGAGAGAGAAATCTGCCTCGCAGCGCCGTGAATCTCCGATTTAGCGGCGCTTTTAATAATTAATGTCACATTCATAACAACCCCGTGACATGAAATGTCTACAAACAGTTTCACAAATCAACAAAACCTTGAAGCACTGCACTCGCACATGTAAAATACAGAATACAGATATGGCGCTAATAGGCCCCGTTTTGGGAGAGAAGTCCTATCCTACCATCCTATTTTTACTTTACACTAATCAAGTGTATCGCTGACCTTGTCCTACACCATAAACTGGAGCTAGCGCTTCTCTTTTCCCATCCAAAAATATGCCATGATGTTACATATGTTCTTCTGGAGGGAGTTATGTTGGAATGACATACAGAAATTACACTGAAATCAGCTGACTTTTTCTGCTGCTGCATGAGTGCATGTTGAGTACGAATCTGAAAGGTTTAGGGGCAGATCTTGGTTATGCTCCTCCACATTATCCCTATTAATCTAATTGGCACAATATTTAATCCAGTAACAAAATTACTGATCGCTTGGATTGTGCCACGGAGCCACTGGCTGGTATGAGATGAGACTGGATGAGTAGAAGCCTGGTGGATAAGAATCATTACTATGCATTGGAAGGTAACAGGGATGTATAAAATGGCCCACTGATCGTAGACGATGAGCCATGGTGAGCCCACTCCATCCCTTCCATTGATTCCCCCAGTCAACATGCATTTATTCATAAATAACACTCAGTCAATACCTGGTGGTGATAACTGCCCTCCCTCCGATAGGATGTCTAAAGGAGAAGGCAATGAAAGGGACATTTAGCTGAGGATTCAATTCCAGCACATTAACCATCTGGATTCTTATTTCGCCCCCATCATGCTCATTGAGCATCCATCACTATCATCACCATTGGCTATAAGTAATTGAGCGAATGCAAGATGAAGTATTAAGACCTGCCCAGATGTGACGTTTCTCTGAACTGCACATGAAGATGTTAAGAGATGTAACGTTCACCTTAGAGCGGGGTTTGAAGCTCCTGAAAGCGTTGGTCTTGAAGATGACCCTGTTCCTCTTGCACAGGATGGCGGTGACCATGAAGACAACAACCATCACCAGGGCAACAGGCGTCAGCACAGCCATGATCCACAGATTGGCAGGCGGGACCTTTACCACAGCTGTCGGAAACCATGGAGACAAAAATAAATACACGGCCCACACACACACGATCTATCAATATGTATTTTTGTTTGCAATCATTATGAAATGATTGAGGCACATAGCTATTCAACAGGCTATGAGACAGATAGAAGTGCTTCAGTCTGAGCAAAACTAAAATATACTGAAATAACTCATGTGCATCCATCTGTTTGTGACTGAAAAGCTAGTTCTGTACACTTCATGTAAGAGAATAATGTTCAGGCTGTTTGGTAAAGATGTGTAAAAGATAACCTACGATCAGCTTGGAGCAGGACAAAGTAGCCCAGGGTGAGGGCCATGGTTTGGGAATCCAAGGTACTGAGGGTCTTAGCTGCAGTGGTGCCAGTTATGGGGGCACCATTCAGTTGGGCATAGTAAGTCATTTCGGCTGGGTTCTTAGGCCCAGGGAGTCGACGAATGCCAACCATCTAAACAAGAACAACACAATTTGATGGATTCAGTGCTGTCATATGGCATAAAAGAGCCATTGCAAAAATACAATAGCAAGAATGATGTTATCTGAAGGGGCAAACACTAAAAAATAACAGCACTGAGGGAACACTCTCATTGAACTAATATGAATCAGTGGAATTAATCGTATTTTATTATAGATCAAATGTTTATTGTCCACAATACATCATAATGGTTTTATCAAGGACTGTGTTTAAAGACTAAAGCTTGCCATAAAGCAGGGGGGAGTGTTAAATGGAAGAGATCAACATCCGTTACATGAGCTCTCTCCCCCCTCATAAAACCTGATCATCAAAAAATGTATTCTGTGACAAAACCTAAAAGGGGAAATTGAAATTCTGTGAATCTTCATAAAATAGTGAAACTCTGGGGCAAGTGAACATAAAATGTTCTAGTTGTTTGACTGAACACAGAAGTTGTTTATCAGTGAGTGAGCATGCAGTCCCTTGTGTGTGTGTGTGTGTGTGTGTGTGTGTGTGTGTGTGTGTGTGTGTGTGTGTGTGTGTGTGTGTGTGTGTGTGTGTGTGCATGTGCGTGTGTGCCTGCCTCCCTCACCTGGACGGTGTAGCTCCCGACAGTGGTGGCCCTTCTAAAGCGGCTCCCCTGGCTCCCCTGACGCCCAGACACCAAAAACAGCTCAGCCAGCCGCTGCTCCATTAAACTAGCGAAGCTCTGATAATTCCCTTCCAGAGAAGATCTGTCAACATCCTGAATTACTGCAGAGCAGTGGAGCACAGAGAGAGAGAGACAGAGAGAGAGAGAGAGAGAGAGAGAGAGAGAGGTGGAGACAGGGGGAGGGGGACGTGAGGGGAGAAGGGGGAGAGAGGGAGCGCAGAGAGGAGGCAGGGAGGTAAGGAGGGAAGGAGGAAAGAGGGAGAGTTGGATAGGGAGAGAGGGCGAGAGAGGACGGGGAGAAAGAGAGGTAAGAGGAGAAGAGAGGGATAAAGAGCAGATGGTGAGGTGAGGTAGGGACAGCGGAGGAAAGAGAGGTCTGGTCATTCATCCCTCAATTTAAAACCTGTAAGTCATATTAAAGTTGGGCTGACCTTGGCACACTGCAGTCTCATCATGACAGTGGCAGAAAGGTACAGGAGGAGGCTAAATGCCATTTAGAGTCCTCTCACAAAAGAGGGCCTCCTTCACACTGAGCACTGATCTGATGTGATCTCTCAGAAACAGATGTCAGGAAGCTCTAAATAATGCATCAATAGGATTTGGAAGGAAAGGAGGAGCTCAAAGATGTTGGGGGAAAAAACACCACAGGCGCACAAATGTACACAACACACAACAGTTGAGCAAAGCACTAACTAACTAGTAGTTAATGAAAATCAATGACAGTTTAAATTACCTGTGATCACCCAGTAGTGCTTTGTGGCAGTGGATGTGTTGAGGTTGTGGTACTCTAGTGCTGTGGAGTGAAATGGGGAGAGGGGGGGGGGGGGGGGGGGGGGGGGGGGGGCACAGAGGAGAGAGAGGTTACAGAGAGGCTTGGGCGATACACCGTTTATACTGTATACCGGGGGCTGCAGTGGTGCGTGCTAGGCCACTGCTTATAACATTAGGTTAAGTATAATTATAAGAAATCTAAGATCTGCCAAATAAATGATATCCAGCTCAGGAATCCAGCTATGCATTTGGTTTGCTAACTTGCTATCTAAGTGGCTGGATGGCAAGATCAAGCTTCTTGGTTACAGCAGAGACATTCAAGATCAAGATCCCTGTTGCCTAAATTGTTTTGTGTTTAAAAAGAATACAGTGGGGGAAAAAAGTATTTAGTCAGCCACCAATTGTGCAAGTTCTCCCACTTAAAAAGATGAGAGAGGCCTGTAATTTTCATCATAGGTACACGTCAACTATGACAGACAAATTGAGAAAAAAAAATCCAGAAAATCACATTGTATGATTTTTAATGAATTTATTTGCAAATTATGGTGGAAAATAAGTATTTGGTCACCTACAAACAAGCAAGATTTCTGGCTCTCACAGACCTGTAACAACTTCTTTAAGAGGCTCCTCTGTCCTCCACTCGTTACCTGTATTAATGGCACCTGTTTGAACTTGTTATCAGTATAAAAGACACCTGTCCACAACCTCAAACAGTCACACTCCAAACTTCCCAATGGCCAAGACCAAAGAGCTGTCAAAGGACACCAAAAACAAAATTGTAGACCTGCACCAGGCTGGGAAGACTGAATCTGCAATAGGTAAGCAGCTTGGTTTGAAGAAATCAACTGTGGGAGCAATTATTAGGAAATGGAAGACATACAAGACCACTGATAATCTCCCTCGATCTGGGGCTCCACGCAAGATCTCACCCCGTGGGGTCAAAATGATCACAAGAACGGTGAGCAAAAATCCCAGAACCACACGGGGGGACCTAGAGAATGACCTGCAGAGAGCTGGGACCAAAGTAACAAAGCCAACCATCAGTAACACACTACGCCGCCAGGGACTCAAATCCTGCAGTGCCAGACGTGTCCCCCTGCTTAAGCCAGTACATGTCCAGGCCCGTCTGAAGTGCATTTGGATGATCCAGAAGAGGATTGGGAGAATGTCATATGGTCAGATGAAACCAAAATATAAATTTTTGGTAAAAACTCAACTCGTCATGTTTGGAGGACAAAGAATGCTGAGTTGCATCCAAAGAACACCATACCTACTGTGAAGCATGGGGTTGGAAACATCATGCTTTGGGGCTGTTTTTCTGCAAAGGGACCAGGACGACTGATCCGTGTAAAGGAAAGAATGAATGGGGCCATGTATCGTGAGATTTTGAGTGAAACCCTCCTTCCATCAGCAAGGGCATTGAAGATGAAACGTGGCTGGGTCTTTCAGCATGACAATGATCCCAAACACACCGCCCGGGCAACGAAGGAGTGGCTTCGTAAGAAGCATTTCAAGGTCCTGGAGTGGCCTAGCCAGTCTCCAGATCTCAACCCCATAGAAAATCTTTGGAGGGAGTTGAAAGTCTGTGTTGCCCAGCGACAGCCCCAAAACATCACTGCTCTAGAGGAGATCTGCATGGAGGAATGGGCCAAAATACCAGCAACAGTGTGTGAAAACCTTGTGAAGACTTACAGAAAATGTTTGACCTGTGTCATTGCCAACAAAGGGTATATAACAAAGTATTGAGAAACTTTTGTTATTGACCAAATACTTATTTTCCACCATCATATGCCAATAAATTCATTAAAAATCCTACAATGTGATTTTCTGGATTTTTTTTTCTCATTTTGTCTGTCATAGTTGACGTGTACCTATGATGAAAATTACAGGCCTCTCTCATCTTTTTAAGTGGGAGAACTTGCACAATTGGTGGCTGACTAAATACTTTTTTTCCCCACTGTATATATATATATATTCAGTACCAGTCAAAAGTTTGGACACACATACTCATTTAAGGGTTTTTCTTTAGTTTTACTATTTTCTACATTGTAGAATAATAGTGAAGACATCAAAACTATGAAATAACACACATGGAATCATGTAGTAACCAAAAAAGTGTTAAACAAATCAAAATATATTTTATATTTGAGATTCTTCAAAGTAGCCACCCTTTGCCTTGATGACAGCTTTGCACACTCCTGGCATTCTCTCAACCAGCTTCACCTTGAATGCTTTTCCAACAGTCTTGAAGGAATTCCCACATATGCTGAGCATGTGTTGGCTGCTTTTCCTTCACTCTGCGTCCAACTCATCCCAAACCATCTCAATTGGGTTGCGGTCGGGTGATTGTGGAGGCCAGGTCATCTGATGCAGCACTCCATCACTCTCCTTCTTCGTCAAATAGCCCTTACACAGCCTGGAGGTGTGTTGGGTCATTGTCCTGTTGAAAAACAAATGATAGTCCCACTAAGAGCAAACCAGATGGGATGGCGTATCACTGCAGAATGCTGGTTAAGTGTTCCTTGAATTCTAAATAAATCACAGACAGTGTCACCAGCAAAGCACCCCCACAACATCACACCTCCTCCTCCATGCTTCACGGTGGGAACCACACATGCGGAGATAATCCGTTCACGTACTCTGCGTCTCACAAAGACACGACGGTTGGAACCAAGAATCTCAGATCATCAGACCGAAGGACAGATTCTTCTTCTTGGTGTCCTTTAGTAGTGGTTTCTTTGCAGCAATTCGACCATGAAGGCCTGATTCACACAGTCTCCTCTGAACAGTTGATGTTGAGATGTGTCTGTTACTTGAACTCTGTGAAGCATTTATTTGGGCTGCAATTTCTGAGGCTGGTAACTCTAATGAACTTATCCTCTGCAGCAGAGGTAACTCTGGGTTTTCCTTTCCTGTGGCGGTCCTCATGAGAGCCAGTTTCATCATAGAGATTGATGGTTTTTGCAACTGCACTTGAAGAAAATTTCAAAGTTCTTGAAATGTTCCATATTGACTGACCTTCATGTCTTAAAGTAATGATGGACTGTCGTTTCTCTTTGCTTATTTGAGCTGTTCTTGCCATAATATTGACTTGGTCTTTTACCAAATAGAGTTATCTTCTGTATTCCACCCCTACCTTGTCACAACACAACTGATTGGCTCAAACACATTAAGAAGGAAAGAAATTCCACAAATGTACTTTTAACAAGGCACACCTGTTATTTGAAATGCATTCCAGGTGACTACCTCATGAAGCTGGTTGAGAGAATTCCAAGAGTGTACAAAACTGTCATCAAGGCAAAGGGTGGCTACTTTGAAGAATCTCAAACTTAAAATATATTTTATATGTTTAACACTTTTTTGGTTACTACATGATTCCATGTGTTATTTCTTAGTTTTGATGTCTTCACTATTATTCCACAATGTAGAAAATAGTAAAAACAAAGAAAAACCCTGGAATGAGTAGGTGTGGCCAAAGTTTTGACTGGTACTGTATATATATACTGTATATATTTTGTTTCATTATTTATTTTATACACCTTGTGTTCACATTCGGTAATACAGTATACCCCAGTATTGTACAGAAATGGTATGACAGTATAAAAACCTGGATACCGGCCAACCCTAACAGAGAAGACAGCTGATTAGTATAGTGCGCCAGGCTGCATGCCTGATAAATTCCACCTTTTCTGTCCCATTATGCAGCTGGCTGGAGGCCAGCAGGGATGTTGTCTCTGACTTTGCAGATGCACCTTAACCCTCCTAACGCTCTGTTTGAAACTGTGCGAGCCTTGAATATTCAAATGGTAAGGGTCAAAGTTGCAGGTCCATTATGATATTCTGAGAGTGAAACTTGGCAATTAGAAATGCCAGACGGGCAAATTTTTCTAACTTAATCATAATTCTTTGAAAGTGCTCTTCTCGACCATTGATGGCCTGGTAAATCCTACCCCAGCAGTTTGTGGCATATTTCAGAGATAAGATAACCAACATTAGGCTGGGTCAAGCAAGACCCGATGAGAAGTTTGATGATATATTCCCTAGGCTACCAAGCAAAGGCACTATGGATTTATTTTCCCTGGTTGACACAGACATGCTTAAGGAAAGTGATATCACAACTTAAGCCTTCTCAACCCTATCCCCACCACCTTCGTCAAAATAGTTTTTAATTGCATATCTGAAGAAGTGCAAGCTATTGTTAATCAGTCCCTGTTCACAGGCACTTTCTCCACTGCACTAAAAACTGCTATGGTGAAACCCCTTCTGAAGCAATTTTCGGCCAATCTCCAACCTTCCATTATTAATTGGTATTCAAACAGCTAAATATTTTTTTAAGTGCCAACTGTATTTTTGAAAAATTCCAATCTGGTTTTGTGCCCACCACAGTACATAGACAGCCTTAGTTAAAGTGGTAAATGATCTGAGAGAAAATACATATCAAATGTGCCATTCCACAAGGTTCGATTTTGGGTCCGGTACTGTTCAGTTTATATAATGTATGTTACCCCTTGGCAGCGTTATCAGAAAGCACAGAATTGATTTTCACAGCTACGCAGACGATACATAACTTTACATTTCTGTGTCACTAGAGGACTTTAGCTCCACAGATAAATGATTATACTGTATAAGTGATTTAAATACTTGTATGGCTCACAACTTCCTCCAGCTAAATCAAGACAAGACTGAGGTACTTATTGTTGGAGCCAAAGTACAGAGAGAGAATCTAGCCGCACATTTTAATTCAATAATAAAGATATAACACCAGGTTAAAAACCAACGTGTTATTTTAGATTCTGAACAAAATTTCCAATCACACATTAGGAATGTGACCAAAATAGCTTTTTATCACTTGAGGAACATTGACAAGGTGCAGCCAATTCTCTCTAAGGCTGATACAGAGAGACTCATCCATGCTTTTATTTCAAGCTGGCTTGAGTTTGACTATTGTAATGCTCTCCTGTCTGGTCTACCCAAGAAAGCCATTGGTCAACTGTAAAACATACAGAATGCTGCAGCATGGGTACTGACCAAGACCAGACAGCGAGCCCACATTACACCGGATTTAAGGTCTCTGCACTGGCTGCCTGTGAGTTTTAGAATTAATTTTAAGATTATTCTATTGGTTTATAAATCAATCCATGATTGTGCACCCCAATACATGTCAGCCATGCTTTTAAGTTATGTACCCAGTAGGTCCCTCAGGTCCTCTGGCACTGGCATTTTAACTATCCCAAAGCCTAGGACCAAGAGGCATGGAGAGGCAGCCTTTAGTTATTATGACCCCATCCTCTGGAATAGCCTGCCAGAGAACCTGAGGGGGGCCGAAACTGTGGACATATTTAAAAGAGATCTTAAGACACATCTTTTTAGCTTTGCTTTTCCTAAGGGTGCTTTTTAGTTGTTCAGTTTGTGTAATGCTTTTGTTTTTGATCATATGTTTATTTTGTAGTAGATATTGCAGCTTTTATTTACATAGTTTTTTCCTGTAAAGCACATTGCGTTGCATTCCATGTCGGAAATGTGCTGTATAAATAAAGCGTGATTTGATTTGATTTGAAGGGTTCATTTCGACAGCATGAGATGAAATCCTGAGCTAGTGTAAATACATTGAGTGTACAAAACATTAGGAACACCTTCCTACTATTGAGTTGCACCCCCTTTTGCCTTCAATTCGTTGGAGCATGGACTCTACAAGGTGTCGAAAGCGTTCCACAGGGATGCTGGCCCATGTTGACTCCAATGCTTCCCACAGTTGTGTCAAGTTGGCTGGATGTCCTTTGGGTGGTGGACCATTCTTGATACACACAGGAAACAGTTGAACGTGACAAACCCAGCAGCGTTGCAGTTCTTGACACACTCAAACCGGTGTGCCTGGCACCTATCCCATTCAAAGACACTTAAATATGTTGTCTTCCCATTAAACCTCTGAATGGCATACATACACAATCCATGTCTCAATAGCTTCAAGGCTTAAAAATCCTTCTTTAATCTTTCTCCTCCCCATCATCTACACTGATTGGTGGATTTAATAAGTGACATCAATAAGGGATCATAGCTTTCACCTGGATTCACCTGGTCAGTCTATGCCATGGAAAGAGCAGGTGTTCCTAATGTTTTGTATACTCAATGTATAAATATAATATTATTTGATCTTCCCTACATGCTCAAATTATCCATTCTCTGAAGAAACACCCAGAAGGTGACGCAAATGATTGCAGTTTAGCATGAAGTGAACTAGTCAGCCTCCTCTCCTCTGCACAACATGATATTGGACCATAACGTCTCCTTTGTCAATTAGTTCAACATCTAATTATCAGTACCCTGGTGGTATAATGAAATAAAGACGTCATTCATATTTTCGTATTCAGACCACACACTTACAAACACACAAACATAAGCTATCACTAAAGGACAACACTCAGTGGAAATATGACATCAATATTCATGTATAAAAATGAAGAAAACTAGAAGAAAACGCCACTGGAAAAATCTGACACGCAAACCCTTCCCATGATGCCCTGGGGTACTTACGCTCAGCGATGACGAGTGGGGGGAAGAAGAGAAAGTAGCCCACCAGCTCTGCGGTCAGCTGGTTCAGGAGACCGCTGGAGACGGTTCCGTTCAGCACCGTGTTCTCATTCTTGACCACATAGACCAGAGACACGGCAGGAGAGCCAATCACCTGGGAGGCGCTCTGGATCTGGACAAACACAGACAAGGATGTTAAAATCAAATCAAATCAAATCAAATGTTCTACATGCGCCGAATACAACAGGTGTAGACCTACAGTGAAATGCTTGCTTACAAGCCCTTAACCAACAATGTAACTTTAAGAAAAACAAGTGTTAAGTAAAAATAGATAAGTAAAAATTAAAATTAAAATAATTAAAGAGCAGCAGTAAAATATAATAACAGTAGGGAGGCTATGTACAGGGGGTACCGGTACAGAGTAACTGTGCGGGGGCACAGGTTAGTTGAGGTAATTGAGGTAATATGTACATGTGGATAGAGTTAAAGTGACTATGCATAGATAATAAACAGAGAGTAGCAGCAGCGTAAAAGAGGGGGTGGGGTGGGGTGGGGTGGATAATGCAAATAGTCCGGGTAGTCATGATTAGCTGTTCAGGAGTCTTATGGCTTGGGGGTAGAAGCTGTTAAGAAGCCTTTTGGACATAGACTTGGCGCTCTGGTACCGCTTACCATTCGGTAGCAGAGAGAACAGTCTATGACTAGGGTGGCTGGAGTCTTTGACAATTTTTAGGCCCTTCCTCTGACACCGTCTGTTATAGAGGTCCTGGATGGCAGGAAGCTTGGCCCCAGTGATGTACTGGGCCGTATGCACTACCCTCTGTAATGCCTTGCGGTCAGAGGCTGAGCAGTTGCCATACCAGGCAGTGATGCAACCAGTCAGGATGCTCTCGATGGTGCAGCTGTAGAACTTTTTGAGGATCTGAGGACCATTACCAAATATTTTCAATCTCCTGATGGGGAATAGGCTTTGTCATGCCCTCTTCACGACTGTCTTGGTGTGTTTGGACCATGATAGTTTGTTGGTGATGTGGACACCAAGGAACTTGAAGCTCTCAACCTGTTCCACTACAGCCCTGTCGATGAGAGTGGGGGCGTGCTCAGTCCTTTTTTTTTTCCTGTAGTCCACAATCATCTCCTTTGTCTTGATCACATTGAGGGAGAGGTTGTTATCCTGGCACCACACGGCCAGGTCTCTGACCTCCTCCCTATAGGCTGTCTCATCGTTGTCGGTGATCAGGCCTACCACTGTTGTGTCGGCGGCAAACTTAATGATGGTGTTGGAGTCGTGCCTGGCCATGCAGTCATGAGTGAACAGGGAGTACAGGTGGGGACTGAGCACGCACCCCTGAAGGGCCCCCATGTTGAGTATCAGCATGGCAGATGTGTTGTTACGGACCCTTACCACCTGGGGGGCGGCCCGTCATGAAGTCCAGGATCCAGTTGCAGAAGGAGGTGTTTTGTCCCAGGGTCCTTAGCTTAGTGATGAGCTTTGAGGGCACAATGGTGTTGAACGCTGAGCTGGAGTCAATTAATAGCATTCTCACATAGGTGTTCTTCTTGTCCAGGTGGGAAAGGGCAGTGTGTAGTGCAATAGAGATAGCATCATCTGTGGATCTTTTGGGACCACCTTGCCAGTTGGTCAGCGCATGCTCGGAGTACGCGTCCTGGTAATCTGTCTGGCCCTGCGGCCTTGTGAACGTTGACCTGCTTAAAAGTCTTACTCACATCGGCTATGGAGAGCATGATCACATAGTCATCCGGAACAGCTGATGCTCTCATGCATGTTTCAGTATTGCTTGCCTCAAAGCGAGCATAGAAGTGATTAAGCTCTTCTGGTAGGCTTGTGTCACTGGGCAGCTCGCAGCTGTGCTTCCCTTTGTAGTCTGTAATAGTTTGCAAGCCCTGCCATATCCGACGAGCGTCGGAGCCGGTGTAGTACGATTAAATCTTGGTCCTGTATTGACTCTTTGCCTGTTTGATGGTTCATCGGAAGGCATAGCAGGATTTCTTATAGTGCGGATGTTGCCTGTAATCCATGGCTTCTGGTTGGGGTATGTACGTACAGGCACTGTGGGGACGACGTCATCGATGCACTTATTGATGAACCCATTGACTGATGTGGTGTACTCCTCAATGCCATTGGAAGAATCCCGGAACATATTCCAGTCTGTCCTAGCAAAACAGTCCTGTAGCTTAGCATCTGCGTCATCTGACCATTTCCTTATTAACCGAGTCACTGGTGCTTCCTGCTTTAGTTTTTGCTTATAAGCAGGAATCAGGAGGATAGAATTATGGTCAGATTTGCCAAATGGAGGGCGAGGGAGAGCTTTGTATGCGTCTCTGTGTGTGGAGTAAAGGTGGTCTAGAGTTTTTTTTCCTCTGGTTGCACATTTAACAATCTGGTAGAAATTAGGTAGAACGGATTTACGTTTCCCTGCATTAAAGTCCCCGGCCACTAGGAGCGCTGCCTCTGGATAAGCGTTTTCCTGTTTGCTTATGGCTTTATACAGCTCATTGAGTGCAATCTTAGTGCCAGCATCGGTTTGTGGTGGTAAATAGACAGCTATGAAAAATATAGATAAAAACTCTCTTGGTAAGTAGTGTGGTCTACAGCTTATTATGAGATACTCTACCTCAGACGAGCAAAACCTTGAGACTTCCTTAATATTAGATTTCGTGCACCAGCTGTTGTTTACCAATATACACACACTGTCACCCCTTGTCTTACCGGAGTCAGCCGTTCTATCCTGCCGATGTAGCGTATATCCCGCCAGCTGTATGTTATCCATGTCGTCGTTCATTCACGACTCGGTGAAACATAAGATATTACAGTTTTGGTTGGTAGGATATCTGTGATCGTAGGTTGTCCATTTTGTTTTCCAATGATTGTACGTTGGCTAATAGGACTGATGGAAGAGGCAGATTCCTCGCTCGCCGTCGGATCCTTACAAGGCACCCCGACCTATGTCTACGATATCTCCGTCTCTTTCTAATGCGAATTATGGGGATTTGGGCCTTGTCGGGTGTCTGCAGAATATATTTTGCTTGCGACTCGTTAAAGAAAAAATATTTGTCCAATACGAGATGAGTAATCGCTGTCCTGATATCCAGAAGCTCTTTTTGGATGGTAACAGAAACATTATGTACAGAATAAATGACAAATAATGCGAAAAAACACACATAATAGAACAATTGGTTAGGGGGCCGTAAAACGGCAGCCATCTCCTCCGGCGCCATTCTCTTATCAGATATGTTTCAGTAAATACAACCCTCTAAACATGTATGCTAATTGTGTGTGATTGAATATGGCCCTAAGTCATAAACATACCTCAACAGAAATCCTGCTGTAAGATTCCAGCACTTTGTCCTGAGCTTCCTCAAATGCATTCTCCAGCCGTTGTTCCATCATTTGAACAAAACTGCAGGAGTTTATGTTGTCCGCTTGGCCTACGAACCTGAGAACTAAAAAATGCAGAGCAACAATCAATATACCAGTATAGTACATTCAGTTACAGTACATAAGAGCACAGTACAACATGTTCTACAATCACGGTCACATCATCCAGCAGTGTTACTGTGTTGGATGTGTTGTTGTGGAGTGTTGTTCCTATTGGGCCTCACCTGTTTTGAGCTGCAGATGGACACTGAGGCTGGGGGTCCAGGGTGCTACAGGGACCAGAACAGCCTTCACCATAGGACTGTGCTGCCGGATGTCTGCCAGCACTTTGTCCAAGCCATAGGCATTCATTGTCTCCACCACCACAGATGCTATGTAGACCGTTTTCCCACTGGCTACATAGTACCCAAGAGTGACATTATGAGGGCTGCAGAGGTCACGTTCAACCTGAGAAGAGAAAATGTATCTTGATTGCTATCGCTAACACCCAACACAATTGCAGTGGGTCAAGGCTAGTGTTTCTGGCCCTATGTAGTACCACCCACTCCTCTCCAGTCTCCATCAGTACAGTGAGGGAAAAAAATATTTGATCTCCTGCTGATTTTGTACATTTGTCCACTGACAAAGAAATGATCAGTCTATAATTTTAATGGTAGGTTTATTTCAACAGTGAGAGACAGAATAACAACAACAAAATCCAGAAAAACGCATTAAAATGTTATAAATTGATTTGCATTTTAATGAGGGAAATAAGTATTTGACCCCCTCTCAATCAGAAAGATTTCTGGCTCCCAGGTGTCTTTTATACAGGTAACAAGCTGAGTTTAGGAGCACACTCTCAGCTTGTTACCTGTATAAAAGACACCTGTCCACAGAAGCAATCAATCAATCAGATTCCAAACTCTCCACCATGGCCAAGACCAAAGAGCTCTCCAAGGATGTCAGGGACAAGATTGTAGACCTACACAAGGCTGGAATGGGCTACAAGACCATCGCCAAGCAGCTTGGTGAGAAGGTGACAACAGTTGGTGCGATTATTCACAAATGGAAGAAACACCAAAAGAACGGTCAATCTCCCTCGGCCTGGGGCTCCATGCAAGATCTCACCTCGTGGAGTTGCAATGATCATGAGAATGGTGAGGAATCAGCCCAGAACTACACGGGAGGATCTTGTCAATGATCTCAAGGCAGCTGGGACCATAGTCACCAAGAAAACAATTGGTAACACACTACGCCGTGAAGGACTGAAATCATGCAGCGCCCGCAAGGTCCCCCTGCTCAAGAAAACACATATACAGGGCCAAGTTTGCCAATGAACATCTGAATGATTCAGAGGAGAACTGGGTGAAAGTGTTGTGGTCAGATGAGACCAAAATCGAGCTCTTTGGCATCAACTCAACTCACCGTGTTTGGAGGAGGAGGAATGCTGCCTATGACCCCAAGAACACCATCCCCACCATCAAGCATGGAGGTGGAAACATTATGCTTTGGGGGTGTTTTTCTGCTAAGGGGACAGGACAAATTCACCGCATCAAAGGGACGATGGACGGGGCCATGTATCGTCAAATCTTGGGTGAGAACCTCCTTCCCTCAGCCAGGGCATTGAAAATGGGTCGTGGATGGGTATTCCAGCATGACAATGACCCAAAACACACGACCAAGGCAACAAAGGAGTGGCTCAAGAAGAAGCAAATTAAGGTCCTGGAGTGGCCTAGCCAGTCTCCAGACCTTAATCCCATAGAAAATCTGTGGAGGGAGCTGAAGGTTCGAGTTGCCAAACGTCAGCCTCGAAACCTTAATGACTTGGAGAAGATCTGCAAAGAGGAGTGGGACAAAATCCCTCCTGAGATGTGTGCAAACCTGGTGGCCAACTACAAGAAACGTCTGACCTCTGTGATTGCCAACAAGGGTTTTGCCACCAAGTACTAAGTCATGTTTTGCAGAGGGGTCAAATACTTATTTCCCTCATTAAAATGCAAATCAATTTATAACATTTTTGAAATGCGTTTTTCTGGATTTTTGTTGTTGTTATTCTGTCTCTCACTGTTCAAATAAACCTACCATTAAAATTATAGACTGATCATGTCTTTGTCAGTGGGCAAACATACAAAATCAGCAGGGGATCAAATACTTTTTTCCCTCACTGTATGTGTTAGCTGCAACCCCCAGACACATAACTATGCAGCTTGTGTTTGTGTTGTTTCCTGCTGATCACTTCCGGGCTCAGTAATAATACATGGGTTCTGATGGGGAGAGGAGAAGAGGACTGGGATTGAGTAGTAACCACTGAATCACACCTCTGGCAGACAGATAGACAGACAGACAGCACAGGTAGGAAATCAATGGACTTAAACTGAATCAGACATCAGAGAGAGAGAGAGAGAGAGAGAGGAGAGAGAGAGAGAGAGAGAGAGAGAGAGAGAGAGAGAGAGAGCGAGAGAGAGATGGAGAGAGGAGAGAGAGAGAGAGAGAGAGAGAGAGAGAGAGAGAGAGAGAGAGGAGAGAGAGGCAGGACAGAGCAGGCAAGGACAGGCAGGCCAGGCAGGCAGTACAGACAGGACAGACAGACAAGACCGACAGACAGACAGAGACAGGTAGAGAGGGAACAGGGGAAAGACACCAACAGACAGGGAGAGTAGTGAGAGAGAGAGAGAGAGAGAAGAGAGAGAGAGAGAGAGAGAGAGAGGGAGAGAGAGAGCGAGGAGAGAGAGTGTGGAGAGAGACAGAGACAGAGACAGAGACAGAGAGAGACCAAGACAGGGAGGAATGAGACCAAGAAGGACTGAGTGTAAAATAGAAAGACAGAGTAACACAGAGAACATATGAATAATGGACATGTCTGAAGAGGAAACGCTGGTAATGATAGGTTTTAGTCATTCAGCTGGTAGGGTCAATAAAGAGCTATTCTCTTCACATACTGTTAACAACCTCTATAAAGCAAAGCCTATTCACAATTCAAGATGCCATTTATCATCATATTGAAATCCTTTCACCGTTAGGCACTTCAGTCTCCTCTGCTATCAAAGTGAGAGATTGTACCCCATGGCTAAGAGGGGAGCCAGAATAAGTAAATACACTCACTATAGTTCCTAGAACTGGCCATCCAGAGATGATTAACCATACTGTGCTGTGAATAGCCAGCAACTGTAACTAATGTGAAATCCTTTTCCAACAACGTGAAGATGGATGATCAACATTTAAACAGGACTATGGCACATACTGTATTTGATGTAGTAGACTTTCTTCTCCAGTTACAGTGCAGCAGTAACAGCATCCTAACACAGAGAATAATACGGACCTGGACATAAACATTGGTGTCATTGAAGGCCCTCTGTAGAGCATGGGTGAGTCCTTTAGACAGATTCTGCCTCGTGATGATATCAAGCCTGTTCCTCCACAACTGCATGGACAAAACTGTGGAGGAAAGCAAACAGATATAAAACAAATTATGAGGGTCTTTATTAGGGATGTAATCATACTGTGACATCTCAAATCTTTTTTATTTTTTTGGGCTAAACAGATTGAGAGCCCATACTGTACCTGTTTTGACCCAGGTCTTCTCAGTGATGTTACATGGTAGACGCTCCTCTTCAGGACTGGTGGGGGGAGGTTCAGTTGTGGTCGGTCCAGGGGTTGTTCCTTTTGTGGTGGTGGGGATGGTCAAAGTGGTAGTCGGTGCAGTTGTAGTTGTAGTGGGAGCGGTTGTGGTTGTGATAGTGGGAGCAGTAGTGGTTGTGGTGGTGGGTTGGTCAGTTGTGGTTGCCATCACTGTGGTCTCTTGGAGGGTGGTCATTTCCTGTCTGGTCGTAGTGGTCCACGTCGTGGTCGTAACAGCCTCTGTGGTCGAAGCTGTCGTGGTATGGGGTGTCACAGTTGCGGTGGTCACGGTCAGGGGCGTTATGGTCGTGGTGGTCACAGTCGTAAGCTGTAGACTATCATTGGTCACAGTGTCTGGCGTTGGGTTGGTGTGTGCTGCTGTGGTGGATGGTGTAGTGGTGTTGGTGTCAGCCCTTGCAGGTGTAGTGGAGTTCCATGTGTGAGTCGAGAAAGGACTAGTCACATTGTCTGGGAGGGTGGCGTCGCTCTCCCCCAGTGTGGCCAGAGAGGACACTGGGACTGTAGGCAAATCTGGGTTCGCAGGCAAATTGCTGTCCGCCTCCTCTGCAATGAAAGAAGGAGCAGTGTTTAAATGATGCAAAATCAGGTCATATCAGGTGAAATATTTCCCATTTGGATGATGTCCCATAATGTGAGGATGAGGTCAGACCTGGAGAGGCAGCAGGCATTGGGAAGAAGATGATGGAGGGGATGGAGCAGGGTAATGTGGGACTGAGCTGGACCAAAATAAAATGGGATTTTGAGGGAATGAAGGTGCAGAGCATAATGATGATGATGATGATGATGATGATGATGACAAGAAACCAAAGTCTCTCTAGTGTGTAGAGACACTAACAACAGTCATGAGGCTGTATGTACGTACACAACATTATTATTGTATTTTTTCTTCTACAACAACATGGGGTGGATTATTGTTTGATGATGTGTCCTACCTGGGCTGGTGTTTGAGGTGCTGTTGGTTACAGGGGCTAAAGACAAAGGGTCTGTTGTTCCTGCTGTTTGATTGTCACTGTTGATGGCTGAGGAGGAGGCTAAGGAGGAGGCATTAGCTAGCACTGACGATTGCACAGGCTGCTCTCTGGTGATCTCTGCTGTCACCCCTGATGGGTCTGTTGGGTCCGTGGGTATGGCTGGAGGGGCCCGGGGCCCGTCCTCCACTGGCATTGCCCTGGCAGAGAGGTTAGAGGCCACGGCTGGGTCCTGAGGCAGAGCCATATGCCTTGATGACTCGTTGTAGTGCCCTTCATCTGGAAAATGAGGAGAGAGATGGGACTTAAAGAGTGACTGAAAGCATGTAGAACACATTCTACATTGTCACCTCTCTCTCTCTCCCTCACTCTCTCTCCCTCAGTCCCTATCTCTTTCTCTCTCTTCTCTCTCTCTCTCTCTCTCTCTCTCTCTCTCTCTCTCTCTCTCTCTCTCTCTCTCTCTCTCTCTCTCTCTCTCTCTCTCTCTCACACACACACACATGCACACACAGCACTCCATCATGTATCAACTAAAGTGACAGGATACAAATGTGATACAGCGAGAATCATTTAACAGTTTTTGAAAGCAACAAGCACAGCAAATGTGTTTATTCTTCCATGTGGTTGGTGGCACTGTTACTGTCACTGAGTTGGCAGTGCATGCAGTCAGGCACAGATAGGGGTTTACCTGTGCTTGAGCACCTGCCCCTTTGCCCTCCCACTCGCCAAGTGTCCCTTTGGGTGGTGGTATCATTTTTCTTTTTGTATACAGTTTTTGTCGTTGCCCCCAAGTCGTTGTGATGTCGTTAAGTTCACCACCCCCCACCCCTAACCTGTCTGTTGGTCTGCCCTGTGCCTGTACGGAGCTCACGTGTGCCTGGTTGTGCCTTTTCCCAGTCTGCCCTGCAGGCTATGGAGATTTCATGCGGCCAGTATCCAAACATGCATGGCTTGACAATTGACTGGTCGAGTGTGTGTAGCAAACTATTTGGTTTAAATATCAACCAGTAGGCTACTACCACAGCAGCATTACACTTGATTTAGGCGACATCATACTGCCACAGCAGCATGACATTTGATGTAGGCTAAATCATCATCAATATTCGGTCTGGTTGGCTGATAGCCTACTCACAGCAGCACTTCATCATTTATTTCCTTATAGAATCATAGCTGTGGGAAGGGTGCTGGAGGTGCTCCAACCCCCTAATAAATGTAAATACATTTGCCAAAGTTATAGAATTACTGCTGTATGTTCAGAAATAAATTCAATAATTCAGAATAGCCTACTACACCATGAGTAGGCCTATAATTTAGCCGCAGAGCTTCTTTAAAAAAATAGCCTACCTGTGGATTGTGTGTAGCCCAATAAGAAGGCATAGCCTAGGCCTACAATCAGGAACGTGCGGCAAATCTGTCAGTGAACAGCATGCAGACAAAACAGGCCTTTCACTACATTTCTAATACAATCGTGGGAAAAGAGGTTGGAAAGCAAATGGCTCCTACTGAAAAGAGAAGACTATAATCTGTCTGCTGTAGGCTACCAAAATATTATTTTAACATCCAAATAGGCCTGTTGAGCAAACATTGTTTTACAAAGTAAAACAAGAGAGAGATAGGCTTTTGGCACGAGTGCATCAGCCACCGGTGAGTGAGCTGCGCATCATTGGGTATTTTAGTGAAACTGGAAAGCTTTTTTAGGACTATAATTTCCTCCTCATATTGTCCAATGTGTGTCTCCACACACCCAGGCGTAGGCTAATCTATTGATGGATTCGAGATGATGTCCTTTTTATTGATCTCAGATTCTCAGTTTGTTAATGTCAAAGTAGCCTGTCTGTCACGATCGTCTTGAAAATGAGCAGACCAATACGCAGCGCGTTGAGCGAACATGATGACTTTAATAAGTAAAGCACGTAATACAAAACTAAACACGATCGTGAAGTCCAACAGAAGCAGTGACAGAAACACGGAACAAAAACCCACAACCCCAAGGTGAAAACACACAGTATAAATATGGCTCCCAATCAGAGATAACGAGCCGACAGCTGACACTCGTTACCTCCGATTGGGAGTCACTCAACTACAAACATACAACAACCTAGAAATAGACCCAACAGAACTACCAACATAGAAATAAACACATAGAATGCACACACCCTGGCTCAACATCATGAGTCCCAGAACCAGGGTGTGACAGTACCCCCCCCTAAAGGCGCGGACTGCGACCGCGCCTCAAAAACCCCAAACAGGGGAGGGCTGGGCGGGCATACCTCCTCGGCGGCGGTTCTGGCTCCGGCCTTGACCACCACCCTCCGATACCCCCCCCCAAAGTACCCCTGGTCCTGTCTAGCCCCGCTGGCCGGAGCCGGACTGACGACACGCGCCCCTGGCTTGGTGCGTGGAACAGGAATGGACCGGAATGGGCTGGCGACGCGCACCACAGACCTGGTGCGGAGAGCAGGAACGAGCCGGACAGGGCTGACGACGCACCCCGTAGGCCTGGTGCGTGGAGGAGGAACGGGCCTTACCAGGCTGACTTCTCGCACCCCTGGCTTAGTGCGAGTGGCAGGAACAGGCCGGACCGGGCTGGCGACGCGCACCGTAGACCTGGTGCGAGTGGCAGGAACAGGCCGGGTCGGCCTGGCGACGCGCACCGTAGGTCTGGTGCGAGTGGCAGGAACAGGCCGGGTCGGGCTGGCGACGCACACCGTAGACTTGGTGCGGGTGGCAGGAACAGGCCGGACCGGGCTGGCGACGCGCACCGTAGGCCTGGTGCGAGTGGCAGGAACAGGCCGGGTCGGGCTGGCGACGCGCACCGTAGGTCTGGTGCGAGTGGCAGGAACAGGCCGGGTCGGGCTGGCGACGCACACCGTAGACTTGGTGCGGGTGGCAGGAACAGGCCGGACCGGGCTGGCGACGCGCACCGTAGGCCTGGTGCGAGTGGCAGGAACAGGCCGGGTCGGGCTGGCGACGCGCACCGTAGCCTTGGTGCGTAGAGCAGGAACAGGCCGGGCAGGGCTGTCGACGCACACCGTAGCCTTGGCGCGTAGAGCAGGAACAGGCCGGACAGGGCTGTCGACGCACACCGTAGCCTTGGTGCGGGGAGCAGGAACAGGTCGGGCTGGGCTGGAGACGCGCACCGTCCATTTGGTGCGAGGGGCCGTAACAGGCCGGACCGTACTGGGGACACACACCACTGGCTCTACTCCGGGAACTGGAACGGGCCGGACCGGACTGGTAACACACCCCAGTACCTCTCGCCGTGCCTCTACACCTCCTTTCCCTACTTTGACCAGTAGCCCCCGTAACCTGGTGGCCCTTTGAATCCGCCCCTTCTCTGCCTCCGTTAGCCCCATCGTCCATGCCCTGTGCCCCCCCCTAAAAATTTCTTGGGGGTGCCTCTCGTCCCGCCGACGCTGCTCCCACGTCCAGGCTGCCTGTTCCTGGACACGCTGCTTGGTCGTAGTATGGTGGGTTTTTCTGTCACGATCGTCTTGAAAATGAGCAGACCAATACGCAGCGCGTTGAGCGAACATGATGACTTTAATAAGTAAAGCACGTAATACAAAACTAAACATGATCGTGAAGTCCAACAGAAGCACTGACAGAAACACGGAACAAAAACCCACAACCCCAAGGTGAAAACACACAGTATAAATATGGCTCCCAATCAGAGATAACGAGCCGACAGCTGACACTCGTTACCTCCGATTGGGAGTCACTCAACTACAAACATACAACAACCTAGAAATAGACCCAACAGAACTACCAACATAGAAATAAACACATAGAATGCACACACCCTGGCTCAACATCATGAGTCCCAGAACCAGGGTGTGACACTGTCGTGATCATTTGTGAGGTATTAAAAAAGATTCTGTGAGGTATTAGAAAAGAGTCTCACAGGTAGTTTAACCACCATATACTCAAATTCCACACAAGCCACTAGCCAGCCAGCCAGCCAGCCATAAATCATAAAAAATGCCAGGGCTGAATTCTTGTCCCAGTCCGCCACTGGTTCCATTGACAGACAAGGACTGTTTCCAAGAGACCATTCCCTTAATGTCAAATAGAACTTACCCAGAACGTGGTTACCATGTTCTCAGAATATAAGATATTAATGTTCTAGACACATTTCATGGGAACATTGCTGGAATATACGTGTCCAGTTTTCTGAGGGATAGCCCCCTAGAGTCGATTGACGCACCCGTGCATAATAACAGTGACGTAATTTACATTTTTTGAATAGCTCCAAGTGTGTTTATGCTAGAGACTTAGCATTTCTTGCAGTGGCTGCAGCTCAATCCCCTCTTTCCACCGATATAAAGTGTGTGCCTATTCCATAACATGGGGCTTGTAAAAGAGGTGTTTTTCTACACATGAGAGGATCCGGACAAGAAAATTGTCATGAAATCATCTGTATAACGATCGTCTTGCTCTACGACATCCACAAGCTTTACTTTCATCTGAACTCTCTGACACGGACGTCCTCATTTCGAAGAAGTCGTCTCACAAAACCGACTATTCAGACCAAACCGTTTGAGCTATAAGACACCAATATCGATAGGGGAGACTCTCACGAACACGAAGGTGTCCGTTGTTTTGCTCTATGATTCACACAATCTTCACAGGAGTGAAGGCTCAACATGCATATGGGGTACAAAGTGCCATGAATAAAGAGACCAAACGTGTGTCTAAATTGTATCTATTGTATCTCAGATATAGGACAGACATTTCAAAACCTTATTCCTTGTGATACATTTTTGGACTGTCTGTTTTGCCATGTACACATGTGTTATTCAATGCATTTCTATGGGCTATAGCAGTAAAGGACAAATTCAATGTTTCATGTATATATTTTTGTTTTATATACTGTATATATTTTTGTTATACGTACAGGGGTCCTAAAATTCTAAATCAAATAGTTAAATGATCCATTTTATGACCATCTTAAAACAATTCCATATGTTAGCTTAGTAGATATTGTGATCTAAGGGCTTAGACCTACTCAATGTTACTCTTGAATCACTATGATCAATAAAATACTTTTTCTTGAGTGTACTTTTGACAGAGCTGAGATTTACTTCCAAGTGCATTCACCATATTGCTTACACCTATCCAGTTGTTTAAAATCTAGGGCTATCCCTTATTGCGACAGTGGTTAGGGTGTTCGTCATTGGTGCTGGTGGCCTGGGTTCGAGACCCACTAGGGGAGTCACCCTACTCTCACGTTCTTAGCAACATATG